ACATGTACACACATACATACATATGCATACGTTCATACACATTCATAGACAGATACATACATATACATACGTGTACACATATTCACAGGCATGCATTCATAGACACATGCACACACACACACACACGCACATACACACATACACGCACAAACATGCATACATATACATACGTACATACACATTCATAAACATGCATTCATTCATAGACATGCACACACACACACACACGCTACATACATATACATACGTATTATTGTTTTTCAATAATTTTAAATTCAAAATATAATTGTTATTATTATCGGTGTTATACATATAAAAATGAAATATACAAATTTTTACATTTTTTACAATTAAATTAAATTTGAAATTTGGATTAATTATTAAATCTGAATCGATTATTGGAAATTATTACTTGCATATTTATTTTCAGTATTTTTGTAAAATTTTTAATTAGTCGACATAAATTTCAGCTTTTCCTTCGTTTTTTTCCTTTTGTTTTTATTTTTGTATTCAATTCAAATTCAAATTAATTTATTTATATTTTAAATTGTATTATTTACCAAATTTTTCTACAACTTTCGTATTTTTTTTCATTTATAATTTAAATTTTATTAATTACCCTTATTCAAATGATTAAAAGTTTTAAATTTTTATGGATAGCAGAAAAAAAAAAGAAATGAAAGATGAAAGCAATTCAGGATGACTAAATTTTCTTATGTCTGTTCCTGGCACCATTTGTTGTTTGAGTTAATCAAATAGTACTTAAGATTTATTTCATTTCAAATAAATTATTCATTGTGGGTCAGCTACTTCAAATAAATTTGCATCATTTGTTGGTTAATTAAGAGAATTATTTAATTGGACAATTTTAAATGAAATGATTTTGTTAAGAATTTAAGAGAAAAAAAAATAATTTTTAAAGAATGCAAAGAATTGGAAAAATTTTTTATTAAAATTTAAAACATGCATAAGCTATAAGCATTACTAAAATAAAATTTTTCATTAATTAAGCAAAAAAAAAAAAAGGAAAAAAAGTTTCGAAAAAAATGACACATTTGAATAAAATATTATTTTCTCCTCATTTATTCCAAGAAAATAAAACAAAAAAAATTTGAAAGTGAAATTTTAATTTTGCCATTTTAAAAGTGCTTATATATTTCCTATTCATTTCAAAAGGAAAAAAGAAAAAAAAAACGAAAACGAAAAAACGATGTCTGCTAGCTTAATTTGTTTTCTTCTTTTTTTTTTTCCACTTAACAATTAATTATTTCGTTGTTTTTTTTCCTTAGAAATAAATTATTTAATTTATTCATTTTAATTGATTTGAATTTATTTATTTAATATTGTTATTTAATTGAATACATTTATTTAATTAATATTTATTTTTTATTTAATTGCATTATTTAATTAAATTTTTATTTATTTAATATTTATTTAATTACAAAATGAATCTTTAATCTTGGATTTCTTTTTTCTTTGTATTTTTTTTTTTGAAATGAGTTTGTTTAATGAAATTATATTTAATACCATCTTAAATATTTTTTAATTGAACGAAAAACTTTCAAATTTCAAAATTAGTGTAGCAAGTGGAAATATAAGCTAAATGAAAACCGTAATAATTTCTCATTTAATCCAAATTCATGATCATGCAAGTGTAATTTACATTTAAAATTTGTATTTGAATTTAAATACTGAATTAAATATTAATTAGGAGTATCAAAATTAACTTCGAAATTGTCCATTTCATTTATTCCTCATTTCTTTTTTAAATTAATGCAATACATGAATTTAAAAATGCAACAATGATTATTGCAAACAAATTGGATTACATTTGTTAACTGTTAACATTTTAATTTTATTTTAATCCTAGCAAAGATTTAATACCCCAAAAATTAATTCCATTTAATAATTTTGCAACTAAAAAAAATTAATAAGACAATTTTTTAATTAAATTTTCATTTTATCAACTTATCCTATTATTTTCCCCCTTTCCTCCCTTTCTTTTTAGCTTCTTTTTCTAATATGCAAAAATTTAAAAATTTTATTTATTATTTTTAATCATTGATAATATTAACAAAAATAAGAAACACACTGATAATATTATAATTTGAAAAAGAAAAATTTATCAATACTTATCCTATAATTTCGTCTCTGATTACTGATAATATTAACAAAGATAAGAAACATCCTGATAATATTGTAATTTAATTGAGAAAGAATATAATTTCATCTCTGATTACTGATAATGTTAACAAAGATAAGAAACACAA